TTTGAGACAGAGTCTTGCTCTGTCACCTGGGCTAGAGTGCAGTGGCATCATCATAGCTCACAGCAACCTCAAACTCCTGGCTCAAGTGATCCTCCTGCCTCAGCCTCCCAAGTATCTGGGATATAGGCATGTGCCACCATGCCTGGTTAATTTTTCTATTTTTTGTAGAGACAGGGTGTTGCTCTTGCTCAGGCTGGTCTATGTTTAACCTTTTGAGGAACTGCCAGACTGTTTTCCAAAGTGGCTGTACCATTTTACAGTTCCACCAGTGGTATATGAATTCTGATTTCTTTACATCCTCATCATCATTTGTTATTTTCTGTCTTTCTGATTATATTTCTAGTGGGTATGAAGTAGAATCTCACAATTTTGATTTCTATTTCCTCAATGGCTAATGACATTTGAGCATCTTTCATGTGTTCATTGTCCATTTGTGTATTTCCGGAGAAATGACTATTGAGATCTTTGCCCATTTTTTAATGGGGTTGTTTCTCCTTTTATTATTGAGCTGTAAGCATTCTTTATATATTTTAGATACAAGTCCCTTATCAGATATATGATTTGAAAAAGTTTTCTCCCATTCTACTACTTGTATTTTCACTTTCTTGATAGTGTCTTTGAAGTACAAAAGGTTTTAATTCTGACAGTGTCCATTTTATCTATTTTTTCCTTTGTTGCTTATGATTTTGATTTCATATCTAAAAGACCATTGCCCGATCCAATGACATCAGGATTATCTCAAGAATCCCACATAACATTTAGTTGTCATGTCTCTGTTTTGGGGGTCCCACAACTACCCACTAGTTTCGTGATTTTCTAGAAGGATTCACATGACTCAACAAGTTGTACTCACAGCTTACAGCAAAGTATAATGCAAGAACAGCAGGAACAAACACAGGCTACATAGGTCATACACAGCTTCCAATCATCCCTTTCTCTGTGAGGGTCACATGGACATGCTTTTTACTACCAATGCAAAACCACAGAGACACACATGAGGTGTCTTCACCCAAGGAAGCCCATTTGAGTGTTACAGGACCTGAAGAGGGCCTGTCACATATGCACATTCCTGCTACATGACCAGCCATGTGAGGACCCCAAACCAGGTACCAAGTACCAGCTACACATCATGAATTTTCATATTTATAGTCAACAATGCTAACAACTTAGTACATCTTGACCCATGGCCTTGAGCATACAGAAAAACATCATTAACCTGTAACTATGTAAACATCCCAGGAGTTTAGTTCTCAGAGCTTGGCCAAGGGGCATTGCTGTGGCTCCAGAGACAAACAAAAACTGAGTAAAATAGACCTTCAGTGTTAACTCTTTCCTTGCACAGTCCCACAAACACAGTGTGAGAATATCTGTGCCACGCTCACTCGCCAATATTGGATATTTTTAATATTTTTCAATCTAAAAAGGGTAAAATGGCATTTTAATAATTTGGCTTTTTTACTATTACTGATGTTGAGCATCTTTACATGTATTTATCAGCCACTTATTTTTCTTCTGTGAATTGTCTATTCATATTCTTACCTTACTATGTCACTAGGTTTTTTTCATTTATTCCTCATTGAATTTGTAAAAAATCATTATAGATCATGGCTAATCAACCCCTGTGAGCAGAAACTGTTTTACAACTTGGTTCTTTTCATTTTTCTAGTATATTGAGGTCATCTTTCCATGTCAGAACATCAATCTATCTATTAATACATCACGCCTTTCAAAATAGCAACATAAATTTTAAAACCTTTATTTTTAAGTTTATGCTGCCACTGCCAAATAATCAGTCTTCTTTGTCTTGGGATAGATAATATCGTTATTTTCCATTTCTTTCAGGCTTGGAGAAAAGCCCTGTGGCTACTCAGGAGATACCTCCAAAAAAGAGCATTTCTGAAGAGTCAGTTTCTCCAGTGGAGGGAATTTTAAGGGCTGTACTTGGTGATGCCAAGTTGGGGGGACTCCGGGCATGTTGCCATCCATTGGAGGACCTGGGAAAGCAGGAGAGGCATTTCAGGTGCTTATTTGCTACTCCCAAGGGAGACACGTTGGCAGATAGAGGCCTCAGGGGTAATGAGCTTGGGAGAAGCCTCAGGTGGGCCTCTGCCCTCATCAGGAAGCAAAGAGTGCTGGGTGGAGAGAGGCCCCAGAAGTGGAGTGGGCCACGGAAGAGTCTGAAACACCAAAGGACCTTCATGGAGAAGAAACCACTTAACTGCACAGAATGTGGGAAAGGCTTCATTTACCATTCGGACTATATTCTACATCAGCGAATTCACACTGGAGAGAAACCCTACAAGTGCAATGACTGCGGGAAGGCCTTCAGCAACAGCTCATATTTCATTCAGCACCACATCATTCACACAGGGGAGAAGCCCTATGCCTGCCACGAATGTGGCAAGACCTTCACTCAGAGCTCATCGCTTACTGAGCATCAGAGGATTCACACTGGAGAGAAACCCTACAAATGCAAGGACTGTGGGAAGGCCTTCACCCAGAGCTCATCCCTCATTAAACACCAGCGATGCCACACTGGGGAGAAACCCTATAAATGTGACCAGTGTGGGAAGTTCTACTCGCAGGTGTCCCACCTCACCCGCCATCAGAAAATCCACACAGGGGAGAAGCCCTACAAATGTGGCGAGTGTGGCAAGGCCTTCTGTCACACTTCCTCCCTGACCCAACACCAGACCATCCACACCGGGGAGAAACCATACAAATGCAACGAGTGTGGGAAAACCTTCAGCCACAGCTCCTCCCTCACTCAGCATCAGCGAGTCCACACAGGAGAAAAACCCTACGAGTGCACGGAGTGTGGCAAAGCCTTCAGTCACAGCTCGTCTCTGACTCAGCACCAGAGAATTCACACTGGTGAGAAACCCTACGAGTGCCATGAGTGTGGGAAGGCTTACACACAGATTTCCCACCTCATGAGGCACCAGAGCATTCACATGGGGGAAAAGCCCTATGTATGCAGTGAGTGTGGAAAGGCTTTCAGCCACACCTCGTCCTTTGCTCAACACCAGACAATTCACACCGGTGAGAAGCCCTACAAATGTACTGAGTGTGGGAAAACCTTTAGCCAGAACTCTTCGCTCACACGCCACCAGAGGATTCACACGGGAGAGAAACCTTATGAGTGTAAAGTTTGCGGGAAAGCCTATACCCAGATCTCCCACCTCATTCAACACCAGAGGATTCACACTGGAGAGAAACCCTATGAGTGCAGCGAGTGTGGGAAAGCCTTCAGCCGGAGCACCCATCTCATCGAGCACCAGAAGATCCACACTGGTGAGAAACCATATAAGTGTAAGGAGTGTGGGAAAACCTTCAGTCACAACTCATCCCTCACTCAGCATCAGAGAATTCACACTGGTGAGAAACCCTATGCCTGTAAGGAATGTGGGAAGGCCTTCAATCAGAGCATCCACTTGATTCAGCATCAAAGGATTCATACTGGAGAGAAGCCCTACAAATGTAATGACTGTGGGAAAACCTATACCCAGATCTCACACCTTCTCCAACATCAGAAAGTCCACGTTGGTGGC